AAACCCTGTCTAGGAAAACAAAACAAAACAAACTATATATATATATGCAGATATGGATATATAGACGTGTGTGTGTGTGTGTGTGTGTGTGTGTGTGTGTTTGTGTAGTTATGGAGTTGTGGCACACACCTTTCATCCTAGCACTTAGAAGGCAAAGTTAAATGGATCTCTGTGAGTTAAAGGCCAGTCTGGTCTACATAGTGAGCTCCAGACCAGGCAGAGTTATATGATAATCCCTGTCTAATAAATAAAGAAGTAAAATTTCAAAAAGATTCCTGGATAGTGGATATATACTCTACAAGTGATTCTGAGGATCATAGCCAGTACAGCAAAAGGTTCTGATGAGGTCCTTAGAATTCTTACTTATGAGAGATGAATGTTTGGTTTTGTTTGTTTTTTGTTTGTTTTTGAGACATGGTTTCTCTGCGTAGCTTTGGTGCCTGTCCTGGAACTCCCTCTGTAGACCAGGCTGGCCTCGAACTCACAGAGATCTGCCTGGCTCTGCCTCCCAAGTGCTGGGATTATAGGCGTGCGCCACCAGCACCCAGCTGAATGTTTGTTTTAGATATTGAATCATCTCCATAAACAGACACTAAGGAACCCTCTTAGAAATGTGTGTGGTCTATGTGGCTTTCGTTAGTGGGGAAGCCATACAGGCTCACTTACCCAGGTGCCCTTGTGACCTTCTGGACTTGAGTGTCCTAAAAAGAATCAGAGGTACAGTGGGATGAGGAAGGATGCTGGACCGCATGTGGATATAATTATAACCATACCCAGAAATTCCCAACGTTGGCAGAAAATCAGGTAAAATGTTAATGCAGTTGTCCGTGCCCCATTATCTGAGAGCATGACACAGCAGCTCTGTGTCGGGGAGACTGAAATCTATATTTTAAAAGGCTTTCCAAGAAATTCTGATGATCAGCCAGGCTTAAGGAATGGCAGCCATCTCTGGTTTGGTTCTATCAGTGTTTTCAAAGAAACTGGGCAGGAGAAAATAAAGCAAAAAAAGAAAGGAGAAAGGGAGGCAGAGAGAAAAGAAGGAGGGCACAGCAAGTCTTGAACCCTCCCTCAAATCCTTCCTACTCAGTCTCTTCCAGGATTCTCCTGCCTTGAACTGTCTTTTCCTAGTTCTAACTTTCTGTAATAGTCATTTGGCAATTACGCACTTCCTGTTTGTTCCTAACATGGCTACTGTTGAACCCAGTAAGT